ACCCTTGATAAACTCATGGAATAACATATGAGAAAATTGAAAATGGTTCCATTCGGTTTACTTCAAATGCTAAGAAGATCAGAACAGTTCGAGTGAAGTACATTTATGCATTTTAGGAAAATATTGGTAAAAGAGGTCCCGAAACGCATTAAATTCCTGGATCTCCAAATGGAACTTCATGGACTGGACATGAAGTAATTATGGTCGTTCCAATTGACGATTGCTTAGTGGGTCTGGAAAAGATTTCTGTATGTTGCTAAGACTAAGATCTTCAAGTTTGATGTCTGTCAGTGATATACTGTTTTTTTTGCTTAAAAGTTGTCCATTATTTACTTGATTTCATTCTTCATTTGGACATCTCGTTCCCCTTTAGCGAGATTTGATAAGATGTAGCGAGACCCCCTTCCTCGTCACGTGTGATTTATCCTATTTATAGAAGTAATTTTTTAATTATTTGTGTACATTACCTAATGTATTGTTATTGAATTAAAAAGTTGTCTTGAAATTTTTAATGACTCAAAAGCGAGCCAATGGGCGGCTTTCAACCGTGGTACTTCTCAGTCAGATTTTTATTCGTTTCATGCTAAAAAAGGTGCACAATTTACACGATAGGGCGGTCCAAATGTTAAATTGTTACCGATTATGGGAAATAAGGGGTTCGTATTTTTTAAGTCAGGACGGAAGGAGTAGTAGAGATATAAAGCAGAGGATAGCGCCCTCAATAGAAAGAAGGCAATTCTATGCTTTCGAACGGTTAATTTAGAAATTTGAAAAATATTGTTACAGGTGTATGTTTGGAGCGTGGCGGTGTATGGGTGCGAAACATGGACGGGACGGAAAAGAAAAGGTTAGAAGCGTTCGAAATGTGGCGTTACCGGCGGATGATGAGGATACCGTGGATAGAGAAGGTTAGAAATGAAGAGGTATTAGAAAGAATAGGAGAACAGAGGACTTTACGGAAGTCATTAAAAAATAGGCGAGATAGATTGGTAGGACACCTTCTCAGGCATGAAGGTTTAGTCAGAGACACATTAGAGGCAGAAACGGGAGTTAGGAGGGGTAAAGGTAGACTTAGATTATATTACTGTTCGGAAATAGTTAAGAATGTGGGATGTTCTATTTTTAGGAAAATGCGAAGTTTATCTCAGGATAGGAAAGAGTGAAGGTGCGTGTCCGACCAGTCTTACGACTGACGACCTTATGATGATGATGGATCTTTTAACACATCAACAAGTGCAAACTCAGGTACAATTGGTTCATTTTGTCAGTTTTTTCCAAAGTTCGATTTCATTTTATATATCTGGTTAATCGTAATATTGGGTGAAGGTTTTGGGTAAGACTAATCAAATGAAAAATAAAATCTTTTTATTATTTTCCAGGGTGCATGTTACTGATCTTACTTAAAATTTGTAATTTTTTTAGTTTTATTTCAATTCTTATTTATCTTGGGCAATTGTCAATAAATTAAAGTAGTAAAATCGGATGCAAAAAATTCTATTAAAACTTTATAATAACACCCTGTATGTAATTCTAGAACCTTTTTAATTGACTTTAGGCTAGTTATAAATATTGAAATAAATAAATGAGCATAGGCAAAGTTAGCTGTTCCCTATGGGCTTCGCCAATAAAGGGTCTTATCAATATGAATCTAAAATAGTTAATTAAAAGCTGATTGTTACCTTATCTTTTACAATTAAAAATAATTTCGACTTTACGTTTATAACGACTTTCGTCCCTGTCATAAAATGCTAAGGTTCGACCTTCAACTTTAGCAACAGATATTTACCTACAAAAAATTTGCGACTTCCTTCTCCAACGACCCCTTTAAATGGGATTTGAGGAGATTTTGATCTACCCCTCTCCACGCCCCGTATGTGGTGGAAGATCGACTCTATTATTTCATTCGGCAAATAGTAAAAAAGTAATAATAATACTTTATTTCAAAGCAAGTCCTTTACATTTTTATCCTTAACTGTCTAATTACTACTCTCTTAAAACTAAGATGATACCAATTATCCCATTATGCATATAGTATTTTTTGTTTCGTTTTTATTATTATATTTCAAATATTCCTTTTCCTTAACTGGACTTAGATTGTCCCTTATCCTTGCTTCTGCCTCTATGTATCCACATAGTTTTTCACTGAACATGAATTGAATTGATTTAGTACAGCTGGTGTCCGACTGAGTTCATCAGAGAATGAGGCACCAGTCCCAGGTCTGCCCAGAAGTTGATGTATTTGTAGTGTAAGTACAGGGACTTCACCCTCAAAAGTTCAAACAACTTCTTACATTTACTGAACGTATTTTGGCCTTGTTTGGAATTACATTAAAGAGGGGCGGAGGTCCTGGGCGAGATGGCCATCCGCCTCCCCTTCCCTTAGTCCGATATTGAGTTCAGTCACTACTGGATTATATGTGAAAGTGTAAGACACATTTTATAATAAATTGTAAAAAAAGAAGCCTAAACATTGTTAGCGAAACGTTGGCTGTTGGTTTTTGATAAAAGCCAAATCCATTTTCCCTGAAAAATTGGTTCTGATTTCCACATTCAATTGTAAAAGGAAATGATGTAAGATTTCTCTAATGGTACCATTTTCTTATAAATAACTTGAGAAAGTTTTTGTAAATTTCTAATAAAATATAATATGCCTTATCCGAAGCTACTTGCATTTAATAAGGTAGTCTTAGGGGCCATCTAAGTATTACGTAAACACCAGAAGAGGTTGGAAGATCTTTAATGATAGGGGATCGGGGAATCTGGGTGGTGATTACGTCAGCAATGTTTATTTATTTTTTTTTCTGATTTTTCTGCAAAACTAAAAAGATTCTGATTAGAACAAATATGGCAACCTTACTTGTGTATGCTCGAAAGCGAAAATCATGTTCAGGGATTCCCCATTGTTCACTTGCCGTCAGACGATGTTTTGTGGTTACGTTAAAAAAAAATAAAAAATGGATGATAATGTTTACGTAAGCATGGGAGGGGGTAAAAGCTTGGCTTACTTTGGTAACAACGAGGACGGGGGGTTGAAATTACTGAAATTCTGCTTACGTATTACTTGAATGGTCCCTAATTCTGATTGAATTGTGTGAAAAGTACGTATTTGATATCTCCGTATTTTTATTTGATACATCCTGTATTTTGTATTTACAGCAATTTTTTCACAGAAATTTTGGCAGAATTAAATCAATTTAAAATTATTTTTGCGTGGATGCTGGGTAAATAAAAGAGATCATAATTACTTGGTGCATCAGTTGGCGTAGTGCAGCGAATGACAAATAATGGATCTGCATTTAAAAAATATTATTTTATCTTTTGTTTGCATACAGGTGAGACATGCAGTAATATATTATTAATCTAGAACGGTTATCCGTATTATTTTTATCAAAAATTAATTAATTTACTTTATTTTTTTTAATAAAGCACTCATATATTATTTAATTTCCGCATTTCAATTTTTAGAAAATAATGTCATGGCTTATTTTGAGATTGTATTTTTTTGTCTGTTATTTTAAAATTAATGTAGTGAAAAACGTTCTTTTCTTAAAGAAATCATAAAAAAACATGTGCAACTCGTCGTCAGTACCCGTGAAAGAAGTGAAACTTCTTTGGCGACCTCTATAGCTTTATAACGAATTGGTGAAAGAAAGAGTATGAGAATTTCCAGGATTTATATTTTCCAATATATTTTATCCTTAGTCCACCTAAGGAGTAATACATTAATACCTTTTTATGTAATTAAATAACAAAAAAATGGTTAAATTTTTTTCGCTTCCGTTTATTNCTCTTAAATAAATATTAATTATTGTTAAATAAATATTTCTTGTAATACACTTACTGTAATATAACAGATATAACCAAAAAATTAATTTAGCACTACAGTATAGTGAATATACATATAATATACTATAATATATGAGATGCCGGTCATTAACAGCTTACTAAAATACCGATATGCACATGCGCGCTTTTTTATTCTCATAGCCTATCGCTTCGCGAGACGAATCGTTGCATAACGTGTCGTTTTATGGCCTTGAGATGTTACTTTCATCAAGCCCAAAGAAGTTTCACTTCAAAAAATTCCATAAATTTCAAGCGCCACCTAATGACCATAAGATGAAGTAAACTAAGCGAATTATTACCGCCATTTTTCCTTGTACATCCTGACAATGAAACATAAGTTTTTAAATATTAATTGGTCAAAACAAAAGTAGAAAGCCGTTTTGCATGACATTCTCATATTATTTACAACGTTTGTAGGTTTTTTTACCTGTTTTGGGAGCAACTTATCTTCCCCGGCCATATTTACCAAGTGGGGGGTTAGTTCAGTTTGACGGCTATTACGGACAGCCACAGTCAACCGATATAATAAATTCTTCAGGTTTGGGGAAAGATGGTTATGGTATGCAAGATGTAGGAGGTAAATTCAACAGAATATATAGTTGTAATTAAGTAAAAGTAAGACTCCTAATGTTTATTCAATTTGATTACTAATTTTGTGGAATAGTAGGGAGATCAAATAGTTAAATTTTCAGTAGTTGACGGGGGAACATGTATCGGTAGGATATTTCCAATATGCAATATATCCGGAAGTATGACATCTAAGATTTTGAAAAACATGGTTTGAGTTCATGTTATCAGACCTTTCAAATGACATTCCTAAAAAAGATAGAGACAGGAGGTGAAACCACGTGGTTTTCTTAATTTATACGTAGAGCGTCATCAAGTTGTGCTCGGTGGTCCGCTGCGCAGTATGCCAGTGCGACGCGTAGGGGCGTGAAAATACGGAAGTTCATGTGCAGTTGCTCATTGCGCAGTGGACCGTTTTGTCTTATATTCTTTGTTAGTGATGATGTCTTTTAGATCCATTCGCTACTGCCTCTGTCTCTAGTCTGTTTGGACATCTCACATGTATGTCAAAAAAGACTTTTTTCTTTTCAAAATACTAACGATACAACTATATAAGTAATTTTGAAATGTCAATAAAATTGGAAAATATGAAGATCCAAGATTTATTCGGACGAATTTTGAGGTACTGAACCTTGAAGAATAAATTTGCAATCATAAACAGGCATTGTTATTGAATAATTGTTAGAACGATCACATTCGTTATGGTATTTAGAATGAGGCACCAGTCCCAGGTCTGCCCAGAAGTTGATGTATTTGTAGTGTAAGTACAGGGACTTCACCCTCAAAAGTTCAAACAACTTCTTACATTTACTGAACGTATTTTGGCCTTGTTTGGAATTACATTAAAGAGGGNAAAATACATTTTTGCCGTTAAAAGTTTTGCTAGTATCACCGATCAAACATTATATAAAATGATGAATGAAAGTTGTTCACATTAGCTATTGATGGTATTAGAAACTTCAAAAGGGAATTCGATAATGAAGAAAGGTGTTTTTTTTTTGCTCCATATGGAAAGGTAAAGTTATAACGAATAAAAAAATATTTCAATACATATTAGTTTTTCAATGAGTTGTGGAAAGAAGTATTTTTATCTAGCTTAAATTTTAAGATTGCAATAAATTTTTTGATCAATCACTTGGTCGGAATAACTAATTGATTGTTTAATGCTGAAAATTCAATGTAAATCGGTATGGATTAATATTAGGACAGGTATTTTAAAATTGATTTTATATTATATTTTATATTGTCATATTTCAATTGTTTGACATGTACGATTAATAATGTTTTACGATGTCCAATGAATGTTTTTGTTTATTTGTAGCACCCAGCTTTTATGGAGCCGATTCTTCCAGTTTAGTTCTCACTTTACTGCAACCGATTTTCTATATAAAATCCCTTATTGCAAAATTTATTGGTCACTTTATTAAACCCTTAAAGATTCTCAAGTATCTAATACTTAGAGCGACGTATTAGGAATCCTAGCAGGAGTTTAGAAAGCAAGAAAGAAGCCTAACATTTTTTATTTTATGATTTAATTAAATCTTGTAACTTTTCTTTTGTAGTTTTAATTTCTAAATGCAATCGTCTAATATTAAAAGAAACTCCTTGTTTGTTGTTGCATTTTGTAAATTATCTTTACATCTGTAATAAAAAATAAAGCATTGTAGCATTTAAATGCGTATTGATATATTTTTATAAGTATACTAGCTTTTCCCCGCGGATTCGCTCGCAGAAATTAATATTGTTTTTCTATAAAACCGTTTAACTCAAAATTCACCTTTACAACGTTTTAATTTTATGTAATGTCGCCATCTTAGATTTCAAATACAAACGTAGCAACAACATTTCATCTTTAAGGGTTGATTTTAAAAATTGTCAAAACACGTATTTGCTTAATTTCAACAATGAGCAACCTTCGAGTAAATCCGAGTACAAATAAATCAAAATATACCCCATGGAAAAGTTGCAACCTCTTTTCATTTGAATAATAATATCAAATAGCATATGTATGATGTTTCAAGTAAATTCAACCACAAATGAAGTATGTCCCAAACAAAAATTGCAACACCTTTTTAACCCCGCCTTTAAAATGTAAAATGTAGCATCGTGCTACAGATGGCGTTTACTGCGCCATTTGTAGTATTTTCTAAAACGCACTGTTAAGACAGCAGGTAAAAGTTGGTCTGTGTTTTGTCGGACTGCCTGCGACGCGCTGATGAGATCCAAAAAGATCGAAATCGCGATCCGCGTCTGATAGTTTCGACAGAATGCAGACCACTTCGAATTATTTTATTCGATTAAGGTAACGTGACAATCACGTTGAGGTTGGCTACGCCGGGATTCGTTTTCAACAAGTAGATATCCACACAAGTGGACCTTGCTGGAGCATACGTAATCCTAAAATGTAGCATCGTGTTACAGATGGCGTTTACTGCGCCATTTGTAGTATTTTCTTTCCAAAGGAAAACGCTAAAAAAGTGAAGTTAAGTTTTTTTTACGAAATAAATACATACAGATGTAAATTAAAATTTTAAGGCGTTCACATAAGCCAGTGTTTTCACGGTATGGAAGGGGGAACGAGGGGGCATTCTTAGGGGAGCCGCAGTTACTCTCAATTCTATAGTACTACAACCCCATTAAAGAGGATTTTATAGATAAGAAAATAAAGTTCTTCCATTTTAAAATGTTATATTAATTGAGAAAAAGCTAATTAAAAGTTAGATGGAACTTACACTCATATTAACAAATATATGAATCATTTTAATGTTATGAGGAGTAGGCACCATTCACATTAACCTGATTGTTGCGTCTGATTCTCGTTAACCTATGCTTACATCGTGGATCTAATTAGCTACAAATAAAGTTGAATCGTTTTATAAATTTAAGCGATTTCTTTGCTTGCCTTTTTTTTTGAGCTATCGACGAAAACGTCCTACAAGTAGGATGTGGCAATCGAAATGAAACTTCAATCAATATTTGAAGTGTTTTTGTGGTTAATTGGGAATACTTATCCTGTTTTGTCTTTAACCCAGTCTTTCTTAATGTGGGCGATAATCAGAGAGAGAGAGAGATGCGAATTATTTGAAATACTTCCATTTAAAATGTAAATACAAAATAAAAAATGTCTATTTTTATTCTACATTTAAATACTTTTTTGAGAAAAGCATTTTGTTTTTATCTAAAATACTTTTCTAAATGTATTTTCTATTTGTAAAATGTAAAATATATTTTTGCCGTTAAAAGTTTTGCTAGTATCACTGATCAAACATATAAAATGATGAATGAAAGTTGCTCACATTGGCTATTGCAGGTATTAGAAGCTTAAAAAGGGGACAAGGAGACATTCCATGAATGCCTTCTAAAACTTTAACTGAAGAGAGCCCAAAAAATTCTAAACTTGGAAATTGATAATCTGAAAATTTAATTGATATTGTTTTCCGGGTTCAATGTCATAGCCCATGCAAGTTCCAAATTGATATCAGCGCCTGCCAAATCACTACTTATCGTACTTTTAGAAAGAAACTACGAAATTCTATGAATTACAACAAAATAGCCCGCAAAACAATATCGAATTGATATGCGCTAGCTGTGTAAAACTTAAAAACTACTAGATATTGTGGTGTGCTAATAAATGCGTATAATCCTAAACGATTCGAAAAACTACACCTGTTAGATGACCCCAATGCTAAAACAACTATGGATTCAATTTCATTCTCTTATTACAATGTGTAAAAGATCGGAAACAAAATGAGGTTGTAAATATTTTGATATAAAATGATTGATGTTGATTTTATATCAATAAAATTATTTGCAACGCTATTTTGGCTCTAATCTCTCACAGCAAANCACAATCGGCCTCCGCGTTCGGCAGCGTTCGACATCTGTCTCTCTCCTACTTGAGTGAGCGATGCGTCCGCGTGGACAGCTGCTATACAATAATACATTTCCATTTACCTCCTTCTCTATATCCATACAAAATATCTATCAAACAAATAAAATTAAAAATGAAACCATTCCATCAGTATTTTCTTATGACGTTGTCACGTTCAACTATCGTCAGTAAACCGACTTTACAGACAACCGTTTTTTTTTTAACTAATTCGAAAGTTATGAGCCTCAGGGAGCATAAAAATTCAAAAATAAGGACCACCCCGAGTGATAATTATACTAATATTTAAAATGGGAAACGAACACAATGGGAAGGAACATTGGTTGAAACAGGAAGAGAGAAAATGTAGAATATGTGGATGAAAAATATGAGAATTTATGTCATGTGGTAAAAGAGGGTGTGAAAAATAAAGAAGGAATTGAATACAAAGAACGGTTAGAAGTAGATGGCTAGAATGCGGTTCTATATTATTAAAAAAATTTTTAACAAAAAGGGTGCGAGAGTAACAAAGCAAATGGCGTTTAAGTTTGAAGGGGAGGAAAAAAGCTCTCTTCTTCATTATAAGGGCATCAGTCCTACAACTGGTTGGGCATGCACTTCCACTCTTTCCTGTCCTGAACTAATCATCGCATTTCCCTATTCGCTATGTGCAAAAGTGACTGTGGCGCTGTCTGTGGCCAATTTTCAAATTTCTCAGTGAGAAAAATACGTTTAAGCTAAAGTAAATATATTTGAAATAAAATAGTTTTGTTGGAAAAATGTCATAATATTTAAACTAGTCAACAAGAAGTGATTATATAATAATAATGATGAATAAAATTATTCGAACTGGGTTTTCGAAGATAATTTATTCTATTAAATTTAATCCTGAAACAATTGTGAAAGGTAAAGATTTGGCCGATCTTCATGTCATGAGAATTGAAGAATTAGGTGGATGTGACGAATCTATTTTGATTAGGTGTAGTGTCATAAGGCAAACTTCAGTTACTTTATCACCATATAAAGTAGAGTTAAAGGCATGTTAATTCTGATTGAATATAAATAAAGTTACGATAATATAAGATTAGAAAATTATTCGTCAATCTAATTTCTAATTAGTCTAACATTCATACGAAAATTTATTCATTTTATCAATGTCTAATTTTTTATAGCTCAATAGAGAACTATGTATATTTAAAAATTATATTTGTTTTATTATATTTCCAGATATTATAGTATATACTGTTATATATTGTTTATTTCTTTAATAATATATATTCATAAAATAACGAAATTCTTATACATACTGTTGCCTTCGGACTGCACCTAACGAATTTAGTCGCCTCTGTAATTTGTGTGGAAACAGTGAATTTGCGATTGGAAAACAATAAAATTCGAAACTTGAATTACGCGTTGTATTTGAACAATGAATTACAGAACACGAAAAAAGTGCTTTCTGACATGGTGGCATAGTTTGCAGGATAAAACTTAATAAATTGTATTAAATAATAATTATTTTGGGCGGGTAAAGTTTCTTCAGTAATTAGATTTATTCACTGTAAAGTTTCTAAAATCGACACTTCAAGCGCTGGCGTCAACCTGCACATGGCGAATAACTAGAAAAACCAACATCCTTAACTATTTGTGAACAATAATCCAAACTAAGTCCACCTTAACAGGGGTAACTCCTGTTTCTGCGTCTAAAATGTCTCTACATAGCTCTTCATGCCTGAGTAGGTGTCCCACCAACCTATCTCGTCTATTTCTTAATGACCTTCCAAGCACCCCCCTTATTTCTAACCATCTCTACCCACAGTATCCTCACCATTCGCCTTTTTCCTAACTTCTCTCCTTGCCTCATAGTCCTAACATTCCACGTGCCGACTCGCGAAATATTGCAATTTTACGTTCAAAGATCCCAGATGAAGCCTTCATTTAGTAGAGAGTAGAGTTGTAAGAGTACATTATAATCTACGGGATATAATTTTGGTGGCGGTTTCCCGTTGCCTTCCACATCGCAGTGTTGTGCATCAGAGTGCTACACCGATCCTCGTGATCTCTACCACCCTGAGTACCAAAAGAATTACTGCCCTTTTTCAGGGATTTGTTTTATTAGTCTGGTTTCCCATTAAAGGTGTTTTGTACCATTTTTTAAATTAATTTTATTATTGGAAATCGTGTGAAGGTTTTAGAAATATGAAGGATGTTTTGGTGTACTTTGGCATCAATTATGGCAGTTTTGCCAATGTATAACTTTTTTGTTTAATAATTACTAGGTAGGTACTACATAATTTTCTATTTTATCATAACTTTTGGACATTAGAGGCGTATTTTTTTAATGATTCATTCGTAATCGAAAAACAAAAATGAGTAATAACCAATATATGGCTGCTTTCTGCGTAAATTGACAAAAAGTCATAAAATATACCGTTCTGCAACAATTAACCTTATGATCTGGTTTGAATTGTTAAAAATGTTTGCAGTAGATAAATAATTAAAGACAATATACTCATATATATAATTGCAATGATTTCATTTTAATTTAACAATGGGTTTGTGCAAAATTGATTTTATTTTCTTTTGTTTTTATAACAATAACCGTTTATATACCCCCGTACATTGGATTAAAACAAATTTTATTGGTACCTATTTTATTTTGGTTATTGTACAGTAAGTCAGTGTTATACGTGCCGGTCATGATGAATCAAAAATATAATTACTTAATTTTCTTTTTCTGTTTTCAGGTGAGCAATGTGCAAGGCATTGTCAGTTGTTGTTAGATACATTTCTTATTTTAGATTTAAAAAATAAATTATTATTTATTTTGTTGTTATTTAATTTAGACATAACAANTCATGATGAATCAAAAATATAATTACTTAATTTTCTTTTTCTGTTTTCAGGTGAGCAATGTGCAAGGCATTGTCAGTTGTTGTTAGATACATTTCTTATTTTAGATTTAAAAAATAAATTATTATTTATTTTGTTGTTATTTAATTTAGACATAACAACATAACAAAATAACGAATTATAGTGCACATTTCAATTGCTAGATGCGATTTCTTGTTCAATTCTGATTGGTTAATTATTTTAATTTTAATCGTTGAATATTAAACAGTAATTAGACATCGTATTGGGTGTATTCGAAATTAAACCGTTACTATTATTAAGTTTCTTTTGTAGATTTTTACAGAGTCCTTTGGATACCAGCCAATTTACAATAATGGAAAATCAATAGAAGATTTGGATGATTATAACTATTCCCCCAAATCCGATATGAAACCGATGAATATAGTAGAACGTTTATACAAAAGAAGTAAGAATATTGTGCCTAATATTTGATTTTTTAATCACCTTTTCTGTAATTTTTGTCCCCATATGTAAAAATACTTAAAAAACGCTGCAATTTAAAGTTGGCGTTGATATTAATTGTTTGAAAAAAGAAAAGCCAACTCTGATTGGACTACTCAAATTTTTACGTATGTATAAGAAAGATAATTATCTTGAAATTTTGCAAAACTTCCGGAATATTTAATCTAGATTTTTTAAATTAAGGATAATAACACCTTTAACTACTTTTTTTTATTCAGGTCCAGATTCTTCTCACTCAGCAATGGTTGTTAGCGCCAGCGACACTAATTCTAACAACGAATTTCAAAAACTTCTCTTTGAAAAACTGTTTGGCGTTAGAAGTCTTTTCATAGATATTGTTAAGACTTTGTTTGCTTTTGTGTCCCATAATATACAATATTTTAAGAAGTATGTGGTAGATTTGCCCACTTTAGGGCCTGATAAAACGGCAGTGGCGCCGCTAACACTTCTGGGACCATTATACGAAGTCCTGAAACTCCTGTCCAAGGCTATTTTTACCGAATAAACAATGAAAAGGATGCTAAAGAAAAATAAACGATGTATTATTAATTTTTTTATAAAAATAAATGTGTAAATTCAGCAAATACTATAAAAATGTATTCATTTTTTAATCAATAAATATGCCTGTTTGACATTGTACCTTATTACCATATATTCGTATTATTTGTTTAACGAGTTAATACCCAACACTCGGTTAGTAGGCCAATTAGCAATCGTTTAAATATATTATATTATTACTATTTAGGCATTTAGATTCAGAATCAGACTTATTTAGAAATTTTATTGGGATCCGTCAAATGAGAGGAGTCTAAAAACATGGCGCCGATTAGGGAAAATTTATCGTAGTTCCTATAGTGTACCGTGCAATTTCCAAGTTTTTAAATTACGATAAAATGATAAGTATTGACACAATATGTGATTGGGCTGACACAAAGCCTCGGAAAGGAAATTTCGTTGAAGGTGAGCGTGTTTTTAATGCCA